AAACGCGGACCCCGTTGTAACCCGTCTAACGGGCTTTTCAACGGGGATTCAACGCCGATTCAATGCGCGTTGAATCTTTCAACGCGGAACCCGCGTTGAATCAATTTTCGGACACACAGATAATGAGCCTGGCTTCTGACGTATCATAGTACAGTACCGTCTGAAGCCCGATTCTGCAAACGGAGCAACGAGGCGGTCGTCCAGCCAACAGGTAGTACTTTCACATGAGTTGTTGAATTTGTCCGCGTCTAGGGGGTAGGTGCATTCGAGAGGAGGTTCTTTTTCTCCCGCTGTCCTGTTTCCTGATTGTGACCCTCCTGCGTCGTCATGTGTGCGTGAATTCGGGCACCGGGCGTGAGGAGAAAAGCAAAAAAAGAGAAATAGGAAAAAATGATAAAAAAAGAATGTCCGGACATTAAAAAATAGGTTTTTTCATTTCTAATGAATTCAAAAATGCTTGAAAAGCTGTCACAGTGTTGAGCTAGCTCAACTCAACGGTGCAAGTGGGACTTCGCCCCTGGGAAAGTCTATTTTTCGCAAAGTCGCCCCTTCAGATCCAAAAGCAAGTACACGCATTGAAATAGTATGCACGTATGTTCTATTTGAATAGTACGCAATCATTTTCTATTCGAACAGATGGGTGTTCTATTCTAGTAGAGCACATGGGGTGTTCTATGTCTTCTATTTCTATTTGAATTACCGTGGGCAGGTGTTTTGCTCAGGCATGAGCCCCGTTTTTTGTCTGCAACGTATATTTACTTGTGTGGGGTTCGGACGGCCGGAGGCAGCTTGTTTAAAGACGTCTGAGTCAATCCTTTACACGGCTCAGGCAAGCAAGACAGAGAGAGAATGGAAAACAAAACAAAACAAAACAAAAAAAAAAAACAAAAAAAAACAAAAAAAAAAAGCAGTTGATCTGAAAATTGGTAACCTTTGGGATAACATATTGTGTAATCTTGTAGTGCGTACTTAGGTTGGAATATAGATAGATAGATCATAGATAGATCCCTAGATAGCTACATATATATGTATATACGATATATATATATATAATATACATATATACGCACACACACACACACACACACACACACACACACACACACACACACACACACACACACACACACACACACACACACACGTATATACCGGGCAGTTCTTTTTGACGATATATACAGTCTGTAGAGTTTTCCATCTGGTGTGGGTGAGTGATAGTCTACTTTGATTTTGGTTAAGGTGGATTATCACTTACAGTGTAATCGGTGAGGGCATTATACCTGTCTCTTATACACATCTAGATGTGTATAAGAGACAGCGTATATACCGGGCAGTTCTTTTTGACGATATATACAGTCTGTAGAGTTTTCCATCTGGTGTGGGTGAGTGATAGTCTACTTTGATTTTGGTTGAGGTAGATTATCATTTACAGTGTAATCAGTGAGGGGATTCTGCAGACTGTTGAGGGTTCAGCCTCCTGATGAGTCGGTGAAACTCCGACGAAACAGTTTGTCACAGCCCCTCGTTTGTTGTCCTCTTCTCCCTCTCTGCCTACGGTTTACCGTAGGCAGTTCTATTTGACGATATATATATATATATAGAGAGAGAGACATTGGTTGATTTGCTTTCTTCGGTGGTATTTTTGTGCATAGGGTTTGTAGTGTGTAGCAGTCCTGTTTTTGGGCTTGACCGGTGATGTCTCGCCCTAAATCAGGACCGCAAAATTTTTTGTAAGGGACGCCAGGCCCGATTCCTGGCACCGAAATATAAGGAACGCCGGGCCCGGTTCCCGGTTGTTTTGCTAAAAAAAAAAAAAAAAAAAAAAAAGTTGCACGTACGGGTACAGGGTACTATTTTTTTTTTGGGGGGGGGGCCGTTTTCGAAAGTTGGTACCCTGTATCTGTAGCATATAGCACGTGTGTTATATACCAGTACATCACGCCCCATCCCTTGTATTTGTAATTAGTGCGTTTTGTTCGGGGGAAGAGTGTAGACTCACGCAGATATATGACCGCCACCTTCGTCAGTCGGCCATGTGGGTATCCTGATGGTTTGTAGAGGCCCTCAATTCCTATGAGACTCGCTCCCAACCTTCCACTCCCGTCTTGCCGCTCCCCACCAGTAGATGGAGCGGCTCGGCAGATAAGCGCCCTCAATTCTGCGGGTTCGCTTACCACCACCGGGATAGAGAGCTTACACAAGGGCTATTCTTGTGAAAGAAATAAAAAAATGAAAAAAGGTTGTGAGAGGTGTTACGGACAGTGCGAGCAGAGGATGTCTGACGCGAGGCTGGACAGACCGGGCGCAGCCCACCCGGCCCCTGTTCTTTCTGTTTCTGAGCAACAATTTTTTTTTTTTTTTTTTTTTTTGAGCAGTAGAAGTTTTACTGTTCTCCAAAAAAAGAATAGGAAAGGAAGGATGACTAGTTGTGTGATGACATAAGAATGCTCACCGCTCACATTTGGAACATTCGTGGCCTTTGCTTGATGTCTTCTCCGCA